GCGCGGCGGGCCGGGGTCCCCGACTGCACTGGCCGAGCCTCGGGCGCCGCCGCCTCCCACCCAACTTACGTGTCACCCACGGCCCCGCTATTCTGACCAACGGGATTCCGGGAGGAAGTCCCACTCGGGCTCCCCGCTCATTGGGCCCGGCCCCGCCGCCGCTCCCACCCTTCGGGGAGGCAGTGCCGGGCTCGATTGGACGCCCGCTTTGTCCGTCTGACCCCGGGCTGCGCCTTCCCGCCCCCCGCGGGCGCCGGCGAGGGGCTCTTCGGGGAGCGCGGCCGCCTGGCGCCGGGGTGCGCCCACGTGGAGTCGGCGCGGCGCGCCCCGGGAGGGCGAGGGGCGTGCCCGGCCTGCGTCTCGGGGAGGTGCGGCACGCACGTGTGGGCATGTGGGTGGGGGCGCCGGCACGTGAGGCGGGCCACAGCGAAGGGCAAGGCGCAGTGCTAAGTAGAAGCCACGGTGGGCGCGCCGCGGGCGCCCGGGTGCCTGTCCCCAGCCTGTGGGCCCGCGATGCAAGCGCACCTCCACGCGGTTTTCATCCGTGCAGCGCGAATGCCCAGCGTGCGAGGCTGGGTGCGCGTGTGCCCACAGACGGCCTGGCAAGAGTCCCCCGGGAGGCTGAAGCACGCTGGACTCCCTGTTCCACTGCCCACGTGGGTCGGGGAAAAGAAGCTTGCAGTTGCAGAGGGGGAAAGACGTGTGCTCGTATAGTGGCCTCACTACAAATGGAATAATTTAAAAAACAAATCTTGCCGTTAGACATGAGTTTGCATTCATTTTGTCCTATGTGTTTGTTGGTGGGGAAAATGCATCAGTTCTAGCATTCCTAAATTGCATTTTAAAGGCCAATGAAGGTTCCCTATGTAAAAACAAGCAAAAACAAACATAATGACCGCAGACCCCTTCAAAGTAATTGCCTTTTTTCAGAATTCTGGTCGCAACGTAATTATCATTTATACTCTTTCTTGAGAGAGAAAAAATTGAGGTTATGCAAATTTAGCAATGGCATAAATGATAATTACATTGCGACCAGAATTCTCAAAAAAGTCAATTGTTCTGCAAATGTTACAGTTGTTTGTGGATTTTTTCAGATTCCATAATTTTTATGATGCTGGAACTGGACTTTTGTGCTCACAATCAATGACCCAGTCCCTGGATTACAGGAGTAATCTGTTCCTAGTGTGTCTTTAGGTTGAATTTGTAGGTAAATAAAAAAAAATCTGTTCCTAGTGTGTCTTTAAGTTGAATTTGTAGGTAAATAAAAAACATTTTTTTTCAACTCGGCCATTGAGTGGATTCTGACTCATAGTGACCATTTAGAACAGGGGTTGGAGACTAACTCTTTGCTAAAGTAGAAAGCTCACCTTTCTCCCTAGGACCTGCTTGTGGTTTCAAACTGCTGGCTTTGCAGTTAGCAGTCCAACACGTAACCACTACAATACTAGGGATTTGGTAATTCAGAAAATAACATCCAAAAACCTTACTGCCCGTTGACTCACCATGGCCCTAAAGGACAGAGTAGAACTGGCCCCCGTGAGCTTCCTAGACTAATTCTTTAATGGAGTAGAAAGCCCTGTCTTTCTCCTGAGGATCAGGCTGGTGGTTTCAAACTGAGATCCAACGCATAACCACCATGCTAGCATGGCTCCTGTAAATCAGAATAAGTGCCTGCAAGTCATATTTAGCCTTTTGAGCAAGGAAAGTCTCAACGCCTTTTTGATGATCTAGAGGATGCAAGGGCAGCAAGTGAAGGTGCCTGTAAGGAAGAAGTTATTGTGAGTACAGATTGGTTTAACCATCTCAAGGTGAGGGTAAATTTACGCAACATTAAAGAAGTAGGAGTTGTTTGTAACTCAGATTCTTACTCTGAGCGCTGAGCACCAACTGAAATCTACAGAGTATCAAAAGAGCCACTACCTTTCCGTTAATTTTGATTATAGTGAACCAAAAAGGGTTTCTGAGGCTGTAAATCTATACCGGAACAGAAAGCCTTGTCTTTCTCCTGAGGAATGACTGGGAGGTTTGAACCACCTACTTCCTGGCTAACAGTCTAACGCCCTCCAGTGACGTCGGAGTTCCGTAATCTGCATGGAAGATCTTATCAAACACAACAGAAAGACAGTTCCTGGTGCAGAATTTGTTTATGAGGCTTCTGAAGTTATAGGTTGCTGAGGAAATGGCATGGAGGCCGTATCTGACCTCCTCCAGTGACACAAGGGGAAAAAAGAATCCCATTCCACACCAGTCCAAGGACAAATGGCATAAGGCAGTTGGCAGCTGTGCCTGCACCCTCCATTCTCCTTGATTCTAACATCATCCCTCCCACAGCATGTGTCTCTGCCTGATTCAGTAATTTGTTGGAGCGGCCACACAGAACACAGACAGTACTCACAATTGTGGGATTTGTAAGGGAGCTATGCTGGTGAAGAATGCTGAAAGTACCGCGGCCTGCAAAAAGAACAAACAAGTCTGTCTTGGAAGCAGTACAGCCAGAATGCTCCTGAGAGGCAAGGATGGCAAAACTTCGTCTTACATACTTTGGACAGGTTGTCAGAAGAGACCAGTCCCTGGAGAAGGGCATTCTGCTAGGTAGAGTGATGGGGCAGCGATAAAGAAGACGGCCTTCAGCAAAATGGAATGACAACAATGGAATGTGCAACAATGGGCTCAAACAGAGGAGCGATTGTGAGGGTGGCACAGGACGGGGCAGGTTTGGTTTTATTGTACAGGGGGTCACTTTGAGTCAGGACAGACTTGATGGCCCCTCACAACAGTAAGAGTTTTCAAAATGGGAGGGATACAGGTATTTTGTCCACAGTGCTGCTTCTCAGCCATGCTGGCCCGCCGGATTCTCTCTGGTCCTCAACCAGTCAGCCACGTGGCCCCTCGATCAGCGCCTCTAGCTGTCGGCCGGCAAGTCTCCTGCTCCTCTGCTTTGCCTCGTGATTGTGGGGCTGCGGATCCCTGTACATCTGCTGTTTCTGCTGACTTCAGACGGTCATCTCACGCAGATCCCAATACAGGCTCCTTTCCCTTGAGGGTCATGGGATCCTCTCCCTTCCTGCTTCTGAGACCGCTTACTTATCTATACGACGTGAACTGGCCAAACTGGCCAGTCCTCTCCATTAGTATTTCATACACTGTGCTTACATGGCCCTACTCAAACATTTGGTGGGAGTTACAGAGACATGGGAAGAAGAGTCATGTCAAGTCATTCCGCTTCACCACAGTTTCTAGAAGAAACAAATAGCAAGCCTTTGACATTTAAACTATTATACCAATTAACAATGCCTGGCAAGTGCTTTTACCTAGTAAATAATAATCTATATTATATATAGATTAAAATATATAATATATATTAAAATAATAATATATTTTACCTAGTAAAATAATAATAATATACATTATACACCCACCCCTCACGTTTCAAAATGGTTAGGTTGTGTAGAACAAGTAGTTATGTGAAATTCAGCAATATGCAAAAACACAGAATGACTGCATCATTACATAACTGCCAAATTACATCACAT